AAAAAAAAAAAAAAAAAAAAAAAAAAAAAAAAAATTACATTTGTGAAACTCAAATTTCAAGAGAGCAGATTCACTCAGATTTCAGTATTTACCAACAAACACTGGGTCAAGAAATTTTAAGTATCTTAAAAAATAAAATGTGGATATGATCAGAAAATGACAACAAATAAGCAAAGACAATAAAATTGCCAACTATTAATACTTCCCTAATAGCTCTTAACTATCATTTGCTTATTTTTACTAACTCACTAAATGGTACTTGCCATTTATTAAGAAGCACTAACTATGGAACAGACAATATCCTGGGCATTTTATCGTCACAACCTTACAGGTCAAATGTCAAAATATTATCTGAAACGCTTTTAGGTTTTAAGGCACAGAACTGCACTTGCCTAAGAGAGTAGTGACCCCTTCTCTTCCCAGGTACCATTTGTTACTGCTGGCCTCAGGATTCTTTTCTATTCCTAGGAATGGACCCTTAACTACAACTCAGGGACAGCAAGCTGACAGGTCCCTAGCCGCTGGGTAAGCAGAATTTAAAGAACGTGTAAGGCAGAAACGGGCAGTAGTCAAACTTGAAGTAAGTATGCCAAGGCACCCAGGGCACTGAAATTTCCTCAAGTCCTCAGCCTGTGTATTCTGTTAAGTGGACCCAACCCACTTAACCCACGCAAACGCTAGAAAACATAACCGTGGGCAGAAGAAACACTAGCGCTGTTCCAATACGCAGGAAAGTAAAAGACTCTCACTGCTTTCCCCGAGAAGAGCAGTCGCCGTCGACTATTAATGACCCACAATCGCTGTATTTCAACTGCAAAGGACAGCAGCCAAGAACCACGTGAAAAAATGCCGCAAGGAAAGCTCTTCCGGGGAAGAGGAGTCCCGAAAGATCACGTGCAGCCGGCCGGAACCCGAAGATTGCGCTGCGGGACCCGGCCGCATTCTGTTACCTTGGAGACTACAGAATCAGCCACCAGACCCTCCCCGGCCAACCCCCTTCCCAGCAGCCCTCACGCCGCCCCCAGGCACTTTCCCTGCAGCCTAGCCACGGCGTCGTGCCCAAAAAGAACGGACAGAGCAAGCAGTTAACAGGGGACTCAGCCGCATAAGCCTGGCAAGCTCTACAACAACCCGCGTGCAGGTGGGCTCCAGACTTCTCATGATCCACGTGTTTGCTCGGCGAGGCAAACCTTGGGAAAGTTATCTTCCCACTGAAAGAGTGCACTTTGGTTTCTCATGTTGGTCTGCCATCAGTAACCTCCTTTCAGATCTCATTTACCTGTTCCTGCTTCCACCCCAGCCAGAGGAAGAAGGCATTCCCTGGGTTCTAAAGGCAAGGCAAAAATCAGCACAGCAAGATGTTACCACTTTGCACTCTCCACCCAGTCTGAAATGATCCCTAGTTTCTCCTTATTCTTCTGACACACAGAGTCCTCAACTTTGGCTACTGGTGCTTCGTGAAGAGCGGGGGGGTGGGGGGGGGGGCCTGGAGGGGCTGTTAATGTCTCAGATACCTAGCCCTGAGAGCAGAGACCGACTTGACCATTTAACAGAAACGGGAAACCCCAAAATCAGAACTAGGCAAAGGCTGCCCCACAGAAGGAAAAAGAAAATAACACCTGCTCTCCCCACCTGTTTTCCCCTCCCTCATTTCTACACTTACACAACACCAGTCCTTTGTTTACCAAGTCCCCATTCCTACAGCTCACTTCCTCGCCCTCCTTTATTAAACTTGCCGTCCTGCCTCAATTTGGCCGGAAATTACTTGTTAGAAGACACGTTTACACAGGTGTCAAAACGCTGCGCCCAGTTCCTCAGAAAAGCGACGCCAGCACCGTTCCCCTTGCAGTTCTAGAAGCACGAGACCTAGGCTCTAAACTGCAAAGCAGGTAAGCATGGCTCTTGACCTAGAGCCCAGCGCCGGGCTAGAAGTCGTCACGCAGACGTACCACGCGGAGCGGCACCCCACGCACGCGAAGGCAGGGCCGAGTCATGGGCGCTTCTCACCCCTCCCGCCTCGTGGCCGCTCTCTCTGGCGTCGATGTTCCCACTTAGGTAGCTGAGCGACGCGGAAGTGAGGCCGGGGACGCGCGCGAGGTGACATGCGCAGCTTAGCTCAGGGGACCATAGGCGCGCGCCAAAGGCAGCCCCGCCAAGGCCCGGCCTGGCGAGGGCGTGCGAAGCTCTCTCAGCGGAACGTTTCTCACGCCGTTCAAATACACAAGAGCTTCAAACTCTCGGAAAACTCCAATCGGGCCATTACTAAGCGATGCCCTCCACCCAGGCCCGAGAGTTACCGTGCGGGGCGTGGCCGGCCTCACCAGGAGTCCTTCACATCCCTCTGGGGGCGGGTTATTCTGTTCGGTTCGCACACCGTGTGTCCGCTCCAGCTGAAGAGCCTGCGCGCGCGCACCGGACGTCCACGTCACCGCGCACGCGCTCCTACCCGCGCGGAGCCCGCCGCGCAGGCGCAAAAAGAGACGCGAGCAGCACCTCCCTGGCCCCTCCCCCAACACCAGGAGTCCAAACGGCCCCAGAGCAGCAGCAAGACCCTTGGGACCCGCCCCCAGTGTGGAAGCCGCTGCTTTTCCGGGTCCCAGGAACCCAGAAAAGCCTACTGAAGCTTCTAGAATCAAGAAAGGCGAGGCAGGAGGGAGGCACCTAGATTCCTCAGGCTTGCACACGAAGCCTTCGTGGAAACTATGAAACCACTGCCCGCCAGGCCTTTCTCAACTGTGCCTTTCACCCTTTCCCTAGGGCTCCTCGTCGGCCCCGCCCCGGCCGCGCCCAGCCCCACCCACACGGGTCTCCGCAGACCCCCAGCCTCCACAAGCCCGTCAAATGAATTCGAGGTCTTGCTCCCCAGAGTGCCGGGGCTTGGACAGCCGCAGAGCATTGGGAAACCTTGAAGCAACGACCTTGAGAGACGGATGGTCGAGTTTACAACATCCACATCTGAAGACGACTAGGAAAAATGGGGAGGAGACCGAAAGACTCAGTGCGCAGTTGGAAAGCGAAGAGTTGCCACTAAATTGCCTGATACAAAGATGAAAGACATCTTGATAAAAAAGAGAAACAAGAAACTTGCAGGAGTGTGTTATCTGAGCTTTAGTGCCTTGATCCTGTGCATTCAATTTTTGTTTCTTGAAGACATTTAAGCTATGAGGTGCAAAGAAAATATTACTGAATATCTATTATGTTTCAGGCAGTGGCTGAACTAAACCAATGGACAGTATTTCTCCTAACCTTCAAAAATTAGATATCTTTCTCCTTCTCTACTCCTTCCCAGCTGTTCTTTCTTCTGTGCTGCTGACACACCAGTAAGAAGGAAGAGTAGTTTAAAGAGATAAAAGAGGCAAAAAAAGGAGTAAGGAGTAGGAGAGCAGAATGTGTGGTCCATGATTCAAAACTGCTTTCTTTCACTGTCTTATAAGAATTAGCAAGCACTGAGAACCTACGACATGATATGCTAGGCGACTTAATACAAAACACTATGGAGGAGAATGAGGAGACTAAGAGGAAGGAATCAACAGGAAAAGACTTATCCAACACTACTGATCTGACCTACTTTTTACTTAGAAAGGACCTTATTTCTCTACACTTTGCTCTGCCTAAGGAGATAGACAATATGGACAGAAACTGCTGGAATAGTCTGAACTAGAAAACGTATAGGCTGCTTTACAGACTTCTGAAGGCATTCTGAACCCCCCAATTCAGGCACCATCAGCAAGAGCATTCAAGATCCTAAGCAAAATTGAAATTTAACAGTTTAACACCTTCCTCCTCTTCCCTGACCCTAAGAACCATTCCTACAAGCTGCCCTGTAAAAATCTCCCACCTTACCAAGAATGCCTTCTGCTCAAGGATCTAAGGTTTCCTCATAAAAAAACTTCCATTTTCTGGGTAAGAAATAAAAATTTCTGTTGATTTAGCATGAAAACGGCTGGGCGCGGTAGCTCACGCCTGGAATCCCAGCACTTTGGGAGGCCGAGGTGGGTCACGAAGTAAGGAGTTCAAGACCAGCCTGGCCAACATGCTGAAACCCCGTCTCTACTAAAAATACAAAAAACATTAGTCGAGCGTGGTGGCACATGCCTGTAGTCCCAGCTACTCGGGAGGCTGAGGCAGGAGAATTGCTTGAACCCAGGAGACAGAGGTTGCAGTGAGCCGAGATTGTACCACTGCACTCCAGCCTGGGCAACAGAGGGAGACTCTGTCTCAAAAAAAACTTCCAGCCGGGCACGGTGGCTCACGCCTATAATCCCAGCACTTTGGGAGGCCAAGGCTGGCAGATCACGAGGTCAAGAGATCGAGACTATCCTGCCCAACATGGTGAAACCCCATCTCTACTAAAAATACAAAAATTAGCTGGGCGTGGTGGCATGCGCCTGTAGTCCCAGCTACTCAGGGGGCTGAGGCAGGAGTACTGCTTGAACCTGGGAGGCAGAGGTTGCAGTGAGCCGAGATTGCGCCACTGCAG